CCGGTGTGTGTACCTTCTATTGTTCTAATTGTTTCACGAACATAATTATGATTGGGTGTACACTCACCCACTGTCCGTGGATGGCCAGTGCTTGTGCTACGCCTGCCCGTCCCACCTAGCCTTGTGATACCGAAGGCTCAGAAGCGGGGAACTTTCGGAACCGTTCAACAATGAGGCACTTGCGTATCTATCTCCACTGATTATAGGCTTCCAAACTTTTTTCGTTTCCCTCTACTGGCCTTATCAGCTGCGCATACAAACGATATCCCAAAACTAAAAGTTTCACAAGAAAGTCTCGAATTACGTGACTCGGGTTTCGTGTTTATAGGTTGTGGTGATCTTAATATGTGAAGCAACGTCATGAAAATGAACTTCCCATGGCTTTCTTGTTTCCTCTGTGCAATTATGCAGATAGGAAGATCAAATCTTACCTCAAACACTCTTACTGAAACAAAACCTTTTGTAGATTTCCGGAAAAACTAAGAGATATTACTGGAATAACTTTTTTAATACGTTTATCAAAATAATTTAACAATTATTATTGATTTGATTTATTTCGTCAAAAAACAGTAAAAAGTGTATGGGATGAATGGGGCACGAAGTGTTGGAGAACGTCAGACCCACAGAAAATGAAGAGAAAGCCTAAACACGTCACTTCGTTACCGCGATGCCCGTGGCGCAACCTAACGATTTGAAGATAGGTGCCAATTGTGGTAATACATAAGTTTGTTTGACAGTGCGCCGGCGAGATTGCCGTACAAATAAAGAACAATGATGCAACATTGTGTGTGAGACACAACCAATCCAGATGTGATAATCATTACTAACCAATTTATTGGAAGAGTCACGCATGAAGACAATGGGTCGTAGTGAATTGTTAGAGTAAATTTCCAAAATATTATCAGATACCAGCAGTAGCGACCAAGTTATTTACCGATTGGCAAAGAAACTCAACTGAAGCAAAAATTCGTTAGCAGTAAACACAACCTGCCCGCGACACCATTAAAATAATAAGCAGTGCATTCCAGTTGCAGGAATGTAAATGTAGGAAGTTAAGACTCGCAATGTATTTCGACGATGCTTACGTCACCTGGAACACTCAGGATTGCACCCAAAATGCGGACGCCTGTACAACTTCGCGAAGAAAAGCCTACGGTTTACACAATATTTGATTCTGTTTTGGTGGCGTAATACATTGGCTTGTGCTTCCGACCATTAGTTCGTTTAACCGCAATCTACGTATTCCTAAATCCTGCAGTAAATTTGTGCGTGTGACATTTGAGAATCACGGGATGAACCGGCGTATATCCTAGCAACCACTAATAGCACAAGCTTTTCAGGCGCGGTCGTGTTGCAATGTTGCCACTAAATCGACGCAAACAACTGAAGGGGGAGACTGTGTCCCCCTTCAGCAGCTGAGTGTCATTTTATGCTTAATGTGTTTGTGTTGTAACTTGCGAGCGAAGTGATATGTTTACGAGTGCGAAGGGAATTTTCGTCATTGCTATATGTCTTGTTGTTGTTTGTTACAAATTTTCTACACAAAATACATGCGTCAAAAACACGGCAGCTGCGTTAAATCTCAGAACGACGTTAGATGGTCGTAAAGATTATAAGAACAAGAGAAAAAGGACATAAAAACTTTGAACAAAAAAGCACAGTGGTAAAGCATTTGAATAAATCAGCGGAACACATTATTTCAACAATTAAATTCAGAACAAGTGGCATTATGCTTCTGGCTTATTCAGGAATCGATAACCTTCATTAATTCCCAGAATATGAATAAAATTTCAAGGGTAATGTTTTTGTTTTGTAATAATGAATGAGTAACACCTGCGATATGAGTACATAGCAACGATTAAGTACACAGCAGCTTTAAGTCGTGAAGACAGGGGAAACTTATGGGAAAGTTCCAAGGCGCCCTTTCTCCAAAATTCATTTCGGACGCACCACTGTTCCTTGAGTCCCCTGTCTAGGAGAGAAGCCGACGAGGATAAAGTTTCGCCGAAAGGCTTTTGCGGTTTCAGTGGTTCCTCCCGGGAAATGTCCGTGGCGTCTCGGATGCGCAACCGACGACCTTACGACCAAACCTAAATCCCACAAGGCGGATACTTTTCCCACCTTCGGGGCTGGTCCTCCGCCATCGTACCACAGGCACGTAAAAGCGAAGAGGAATCGAAACTTTTACGTGATTATGTTCCACTTATTTATGTTCTGTATATTTATGTATTTATTTTATTTATGTATTTATTTTATTTATGTATTTATTTTATTTATGTATTTATTTTATTTATGTATTATTTTATTTATGTATTATTTTATTTATGTATTATTTTATTTATGTATTATTTTATTTATTTATTTATTTATTTACTGTGTTTAAATTAAGTATTTTATCCGTTCAACATCCACATTTGAGAATTTTGAAATTTTCCCTCTTGATTCTGTTAATCTTCTCTTCTCAGTACCGTTTTCTTTTCTTTCTTTCTCTTTCTCTCTCCCATCTCTGGCCATGTAGACCATGTAAATATAAGTATATATTCAGAAACTTCACGTGAAGTTATTATTCCAATCTGACTGATTAATGTACAGGTATTCTCCAAATCTTAATTTCTGAGTGTGTTCAAATACGGCAAAAGTTACGTATTACTGAGCGCGAACAGAAACTTCAAGACTGTTCGCTTTGAAGAGAAGACAAACAGCACACACACAGTTTCTCAAGTTGATTCTAATTAAAGAACCTTCAGACTTACTGGATGAGTTTCCGAAAATGCCATTGTTTGATGTTGAATGTAATTTTACGGTTCTGGCATTTCATTTGAAACATTAATTTATTTTTTTACTAAAGTGAGAAACGGAAAAACTATCAGAAATGTATTCATATATAGATATACTCGTATGTATACACGAATTTGATTCATGTTTCAGGGCACATCTACTGCTATGGGCATTAGTCCCGTTAGTGTAGTAAAAGTTTTATCCTGGGAGGAGGCGGTTGTGCATGTAAGTGCGTGTAATGGACAGGATAAGCAAAGGTGAATAGAACAGGAAGAGGAAGGAAAGATCACGGACTGTCCGTGGTCCGTTAGGTAGGATATTGCTTCCGCATTCGCCTCGTACTAATCAAAGAAGCCACGTACACAGGTTGATTCGACTTACCTCTCTAGCTAGTGTCGAATATCCGCCACCGCCGGGACTCGAACTCTAGGACCTCCCGGCCAGAGTCGCTGCAGGGGCAACGGTAATGATAGCTCTCAGCTAAGTCACAGGAAAAGGCAGAAGCCATCTTGGCGTTTGTTTTTATAAATCAAAACTGAACAAAAACCTTGACCCATACGCGGGTCACTTCCCTCTAAATGCGCATGAATACGTTTAGGCAAATATTTACGGAATTCACCATGGTTCTTTTAAAATTTTAAATATACTTGCAAACAATAACAATACCATTTACGATATTCTTCCGTTTGAATGCTTTTAACAGATTACGTTGAGAAATTCGACAAACTGCACTTTTCGTGAGTGATTTTATCAAGATTGGAACGCACTACGAATGACGAGTCGTTTGGCATAGTATCAAGGAGGAAATGCGAAGTAATTGATGTAACTCTCGCAGCAACGATTACCTTCCCTTCATGGCACATTCTCTAATTTTGAGAGGCAGATTATGTATGTTCATTACAGCAGTAGTGCTCTTTATAGCATGTATTAACGTCGCACGTTAATATCATTCTGTTATATATCGTCCTATATTATCTTTGCAATATATCTTTTACATATTCTCACAACGAAATCTTGACGAAATTAAAATTATCCTATTGCGTAGTAAAGCGGTGTTTAAAACATTCAACTTTTAACCGGGAACCCTACTATAATTTGTCGAGAATTTTGGCATTTTTCGTGAAGTCCGGCAGAAATATATTTTGGGGTTCGGTGATGTTGACCATTGGTATCCAAACTTAACGATACTCGTTGACCGCAATCATGGAGTTCGAATTGGTGGAAGTACTTCATAAGACGAAATCTCACCAATAATTGTAGACGTAATCAATATTCAGAAATCTTCCATGAAAGATCCACGTACTCAAAGGACAAAATACACCAAGTTTATCGAAATGATATTATGTTTTCTCCTCCAAGTTTCCGGCAAACTTAAAAATGCAGTAAAAACAATGAGAACGTCCTAATTAAGTCTTGTGGGATTTCACTTTTGATAAAGTATCTCTGTATCGTATCTGATATTCTGCAATGCGGGTATTTGGATTTGTTTCATGAAATAATGAGGACAGTCAATTCCCTTCATCTCACCCGGGATTTTATCCCTAGTGGCAGCTAGAAGTTTTCACGGGGTGGTAGAAGCGTCAGGTGAAACTGATGGACTTTAAATAACTATAAGGGGATGGTAGAAAAATATTTAAGAAAAAGCTTTCGAAAAGTTTAAGTGCCTGCTCTGTGCGTTACGTAATACAAAATTAATATTGTTGTCCAAACATACATCTTCACACAATAAGTATAACTTTTAAGTATACCATTTTAAAATTCTCATGTATAATGGATGAAAGTTTTGCGAATTATAAGAGGCATGCTTCGATTATTCGATCTCCAAAAGTCCTGAACGAGGTGCGTTGAGGTTTTTTTCTAAGAAAGAAGCGAGTCAAATAATCTTGTGAATGTTACCTTTTAAATACGTCACTCCTGATTACATTAAAAAAATATGAACAATTCTGACTAAGCTGCGAAACTAGAGTCCATGTATAAAGAATTAGGAAGCTAATTAATTCCATGAAATCCTAATTTACCTTGAGTGAAGTCTACTTTCTGATATTAGATATGACATTTCGTTCAATTGGTAGCTCAACTCTTAGAAATATATAAAAAAAACAATTGTGCTTAAGGTACCCAAAAAAATAATCTGGATATAAGAACGAAAATGTGTTACTTGCTTTCAGTTTGCTCTTGTGAAGACGCAGAATGGCACACAAATTGACCGACTAAAATTACCGGATATTCTTGAGGTATTCCTGACATGGCATTTTCGAATATTTTCTAAAATTACTGCTTTCTTTAATAATATTCTCCCTTATATTCTGAATGTGGATTGGTTAAACAATTACGTTTTCAGATCAGCTGACTGAATGTTGACTGTGGAAGACAAAATTATTCCTCAATATAATTTGATGTGACAAGACCTTATCTTCAGTTTACATTTTCTTCTTTCGTCCAATAGAGAAAATAGCGATAAGATAAGTTTTTCCTGAAATGTAACACAAAACCAAAATTTTTTTTAGTATTAGAGATTCGAGTTTTTAGGGGACAATATATTTTTACAATTCTGTGCAATCGTACTACTCGATTCTAACCTTTTTTGTCCCATAGCACTAATCTGTGCAAACGGTTGATTGTGACTCAGGAGGGGAAGCAGCGAAAGGCACACTTCCTGGCGTCGCTTCATGAAATGTCCGACCAGCTCATGGGAAACCCACTTATCGGCCCTCTTGACTTTACCAAGTCCTAAGTGCGGAGAAACGGTTAAATGTCAATGCCATGTTCCTTGTCCTTTGGCGAGGGTCTGGCTCCACTAGATTTCCAAGTTCGTCGTTGTCGAAGGTTGTCGAAGTGTGTCCACAAGCTTTATTTTCAGTCGAATCGATATACAAACAAAATAAATTATCTAAACATACGTACAATAGAAGACAAAACAGCGAAACAACGAAAAACGGGCGGGTGCAGATAATGTGAATGTATGGGTAAAGAAAGTTTCATGTTCAAAGATTTATCCCAAAGAAAAGTGTTGGAAGACAACGCTAGTATGACTAAAACTCAAACGTGCCATAGGGTTAATATTCAAAGACGTGAAGTGGGCGATTTAGCTGGATCGATTTCCCAGCATGATCGCGTGTTTGTTTAATCTGTTCATTTACCGTGTAACAATCGAATGATTTGTATATTATGTTTCTCGAAGACTGGTGAGGTATTATCAAGTATATATTCGTAAACAAAAATTGGTCGAATTTAACTCGTTTCAATTTTGTTTATATAAACACGCGACACTAGCGCTCAAATCAAGGGCACGAATATGTATCAGTCACTTAACGATATACAGATATTACAGTATATTGCGGCATATGGAAATATCACATTTCTGTCGCTGCAAAATCCGACATTTAACGGGCAATAACCTGATGGAGTACCCATGCCTTTGCTGTCACGACCAGAAGATGATTGAACAAAGCTTTTCCTGTGAATCAATGTTCTATAAAATGTACAGTACACAAAAACCATAAAATGTTAGTTAACAAAGGAACAATTTTCAATTTTGGAATTATTTAGGATCGAGTCGCTACATTTTTTTTCAAAAAACAATGTACATATTTAAGTGCACTGACGTAAGGGTTCCTGAATGCGTTTTCATTTGATTACCGCAAAATTAATATTGCTTTTCAACATGAATACGTTCCCCATCCCTGGTCTAGAGAGTACAGTACCCTCTGTTCCCTGGGGAGCAGACATAAAACCACTCTTGCGGGGGACCAGCAATGGGTGGGGGAGCGTGCGTAGGGGCGGGGCCTCCTACAGAACAGGAGGGTGCAAAGCACTGAACCCTTCCATACCGACGCAAACCGTCTGTACAGCTATCCAGTCTTTCACTGTGAAATGAGATGTTCGGCTAATACAGATATACTGTACGACTAGTAGCCGAAAAGAAAATTGGGACTATTCGATAAGAAATGAGATCCTTTAGAAAAACATTTGCAAGAACGCAATTGCTTCTGTGTTTTGTAATATATTCCATGACATAGTAAAATATTAAGTAAGGATGTAATGTTTCTCTTCTAGTTTCGTGTTTAATGGACCAGTGTTGTCATAAAGGTGAGGAACATTTGATTGTTTGTTATTAAAAATTATGCGATGAAAACTCAATTTAATTGGACTAACAGAGGTTTGATCGTCACTCCATTTTTCTCACCGTGCCTTTTATATGCATTTGGCAAAGGCAATACACATACGTCTTCAAAGCGACAATCGTTCATACAGGAATACACTTGATTAAGATACATGTTAAATATACAAATGGTTTATCCTCTATTTTATGATCAATATATGAAATAATTTATTTGGCGTATTTTTTCTGTGCCTGTAAGGGTTATTGCCCTTTGAAGACTTCTCTTTTTGTGCTGTTCAGAATTTTTCATTTTTCTTCCACGCTTTTTGTTTGAGGGGGAAGGTCACGACCCTCGTGACCTGTTCTTTCTGGAGCCGCCGTTGTTGAGTGTAGGAGTGCCAAGGAACGCGCTCTGCCTCCTGATCAGCGCGGTGTTGACGGCAGATGCACACTCGCTAGCTATTTGTATCACGTCTAATTGTCTCCAACCTCAGAATGCCATCTATTCTCTGTTTCATTTGACAGATTTTTCGAGGAAGCCGAACTCACGAACACACAACCTCGCCTTATTCTTCTGTTAAAGTACGTTTCTACTTTCTATGATCATATTTAGGCAAGTATGTGATTAAAGGTTGAACGGAACAACGAATAGCAGCGTTTACCGATTGACTTTATCCTTATTATCTCGCTACACGCTAATTGGTGATAGCAACGCCTTGGTGGCTAGAGAGTATCAATGACATACACTTATTGTAGTCGAATCACAGGAATTATATTATTACACCTCGTGATGTTCAATTATTATGGCAAAGTATCATAAACTAACGATCATCTATAAATTAATGAATCTCAAAGAATAATTATTTCCTTCATGTATGCTGAAAGCAAAACCACTTTTGTATTTTTTTAAATAAAAACCAATTCATTTTATAAACGCAATGAAGTATTCATAAATCTCGAGGATTATCCTGTAACAATTTTTAGTAGTGTTTAACACAACACATTCAATAATCGTGAATTAAAAAATGCATCTGGGTCTGTAACACCTTTCTGAAGCATATTTTCAGTCAGTTCTCTTTAATTCATGAAGCGTATGGTCCGCTTATACCTTGCTTTCCTCTTGGCAGTGAAGGAGCACTTGTTGCCTTTTCACATCACTTGCGTTAAATATGTTTCACAAACTTTATATTACCTTGATATACAAAGAAAAAATTAACTAATTTTACTGCTGGGGGGAGGTTCCTTTCCTATCCCATCTTTCAGAGAGTTTCACAGAGTGATTTTGTAGAACAACCGAAACGCTTCTTCGAAAGCTAATCCATCTCCACGTGCCGGTAGCGACCCTGGCCGTGGCACAGCTTGAATTCTTCAAGTGAAGGCCGCTTTGAGTGGGACGGGGAGGGGAGGCGGCGCTTGAACGGACGCACGACATACGCCTGGCTGCGGGCGCAAGGGCGAGGGGCGAGGGGCGAGGGCGGGGCGGGGGCAGCGGCGTGACGCGTTGGGCCTGGGCCGCGCGGAAGGAAACGGCCGCTGCTGCATTTTGCATCGGGCACGCAATCCCCAGGTTAACGTCGCGCGGCGCTTTTGTCGCCCGCGGGCGGGGAGGGGGAGAGGGGGAGGCGTGGCGGACCCCGGGGCGGGCCAGAGGGCGGGGCAGCCCGGGGGGCGCGACCGGTGCCGGCGGTCGGGGCCTTTGACCGTCGCTTACGTGGTGGGTGGGACCTAACAAGCTCCGTTTTTTTCTTTTTTTTTTGTAGGTAGGAGGGCGAGAACGAAACTGTCTAGCGTGCCACACACGTATTGAGGAAGAATGTTTCTCACTGATGCACCTTATTCTTGGAGATGGAGAATAGTTATTATCTTCTCGTGGAATGCACATTCCCTGACTATCCTTTACGTTGATGTATGGGTAATTATAGATTTGTAAGTAGATGTGAAAGTGTGCAAAATTGATAAAAAAATCCACGCACATTAAGAAAGACTGACCGCTTTACACATAACACTTTTCATTCTTTACGGTGGAGGACCGTCATTGCGCGCTTATTGCTGGACGCGAGTGAGCACGCTGGTCTGGATGTTAGATCGTCTTTTACATGGAGTGGGGTCCATAAGCCGCAGCTTTTTCGGTGAAAGGGGAACTAAGGTAACGATGTTACGCGACGAAAAGCTGTTAGACGTGCCACAAATCTATTGAGAACAACTATCAGTTTTCCATTGATGTTCAGTATTCTGTGCAGTTGTTTGCATTCCTTCCTGGTTAATGGGCACCACTGAGATACGGCTTCGTGGTCCTTGACCGACATTTATGTGGTGGCGTGCGATAGGGAGTGTTCTTTCTCGGACGGGTTGATACTGCCACGCACTTCATGCACATATTGAAAAGGACTTGCAGTTTGACAATGACACACTTAGTTTTGAGAGTCAGGAAACAGAGGAGCGGAACCAAAGAATGAGGGACCTTGGGGGCACGATTTGCCTCCTTGAACTCGGAGCACTTTTCACGAACAAAAAGCGTTCGCGAGCATAGCTTATGCCGCTTGTGAATCTTATCGCCGTCGCATTGTTCCCGTTGTGTCAACAATGAAATACGTAGCAACGGTGAGAGATTACAATCGGGGAGAGGCAGGGTCGTCAAGCGCGAATTGCTGGTGGTTGCCTAGCTACACGCTAGCTTGCCTAGCACACGCTAAAATACGTTTCCGTTTTCCATTATTATGATATTATGTAACGTCTGTACGCGTATGTCTCAAGGAATACGCGACGATAATCGCAAATGAAGTTTTCATGATTTTCTTTCTTCGTGCGACTTCCAGGTCATTTCTGGATCTGGGCTTGGAGAGCCATCGCGTGCTGTTTGTGAGGCGCGACCGGCGACAGCGTTTTTGAGCGGGGAGGAGAAGCGTCGAACGGTCAGGCGTGCCACATATTAAAGATGACCGGGCGCTTCCAACCGATGCGCTTTATTATTTAGAGTGGAGTGGTCGCTGCGTTCTTGCTGTAGGGTGCGTGCCACCGCCGGAAGTGGTCGGGGCCTTTGACAGTCATTTACGCATCAACACGGGCCTGCCAAGCCGATCTTTATACAACATTCCAATTATATTCCTGAAATTCTTGATGTTTTAACAAGTTTTTTTTGAGATTTTATCTACCTTGCGAAGACGGAGAATTCTTATATAGTATTTAATCATTAATATCATTTTTTAGATTTCAAGTGAGAGCAAAAATTAATTCATGTCAACAGATGTAAAGTCGGAAATAAAGGTTAATGTAAATTAAGAACCTTTAAACGCATATTATTAATCCATAAAAGACTTTGTACAATTGAGGAATTCATGTAATCATTTCGACTGAATTTAAGGCATCTCTAA